ACTTGAGCTTATCTTGCAAGTGCAAAGTGTAACATCATGCTAATTATTGAACTTAATAATCTATTACTCGTACTTAGCACTTACATGTATGTATATTTTTCTAGTGCAATGTACTGTTCCAAATTGGCACAACGAATCTTAATCGAGGAAACAAGCAGTATTCCAGATGAAGTTAATACCACCTATATTATAATTATGTATAATATATAATATTATAATATAATATATATTTGTTAAGTTGATTAATGTAGTAAATTCCATTGCATAGTGATGATTCAACCATCTGATAGAAATTAAGTGGTTTTGTTTTCCATGTTTCAGTTCTAAAGGAACGAAGGATTATCCGCAGAGAATACTAAGTACTGAGCTGACTTTTCCATTTAATCAGAGAGAAACAAAATTGTGACGTAATATCGAGGTGTTTCGCTCACAGTTCGTTCACAATACGCCGTTTTATCATTAGCTGTGGGGAACAGAAGCGTAGGACTCCGCGATTTATGAATGATTCGGAGGAGTGAATGAACGGGGTCGACGCATGCGCACTACCGGTCAGATTCCATTCCCATTCCGATCTCGCCTCTATTCTCACTGCTTTATCCTTTTGCCGCACTCCACGTAGGTACCGTGAACGAACAGCAGCTGTAGAATTTATAAAAAGATCTGTCCGACTGTCGGGGCCCTTATCAAGGTCTCCACCATTATAATAAAAGGGAAAAAGAACGCGCGTTTCTTTCACCGTTATGGAAATATTTACACACCACGTAGAGACCAATCCATGCCAAGGTAAATTAAACGGCTGTCGACTTTGTATTTTCATCAAGCGACGAAATATGATTTTTCCTGGCACTGATAACAGTTGAGATACTGTTACTTTTCCCACATACACTTTTTGCCGGATTGTCCTAAGTAATCAACTTCTTTTTTATTACACAGTGACTATATACATAACATTGAATCAATAGAAAAGGGAAGAAAGAATGAGAGACAAGTTCTTATTTTTAGAATTGTTTAGTAATAGATAAGTTTTTTTTTATGCAATAATTTACCAACTGATCATATTTATGACATTAAAATTGTCATAAATTGTAGATTGTTCTTTTTCATAAAATTATTGAACGTATTTTCAGTTGGAAAAAGCAAGAACTTCAGATACTATCGCACTTGAGGACTTTACCTTCAGAAGATCACTATCTTTTGAAAACAGTCACACACAGTTTCCCAGAATCGGCTACACGATTGCATCGTTGGTATTCAACGACATATTACCATAAATCAAACAACTGTATCCACTCTTTTTTTTAAAGGAACAACTTTAATAGATTTTCCAGAATGATTAGATATATCGACATCTGAAGACTTAAATCTGCAATCTTCGAATTTACAAAATTAAATTATATTTACTAGTATAAAAATATTTTTTTGATATATTGAACTTTCTACGTTGGAAGCAAAGATAATACATAATAACAATTACCGATTTGCATAAATTCTGAGCATGTTGAAGAAAAAGCATTTGTAACGCATATAACAATCATGATAATAAGTTACAACTATGAACGAAGATTTTCCACTTAAAATTCGTAGTTGACAGTCAAAAGGTGACAAAGCTACTGAATATTGAACAAACGAGGATTGTAAAGTTATGGTCTGGTTTATTTATGAATGTATTTTCTCTTAAACAGCATTCACAGCATTCGGTGAAAACTATGTAATTTTCTTCTGCCATCGCAACTTTCGATCGTAATTTCTCGATATTCCAACCGGGTGATTTAATCTGAGTACAGGTCGTTCCAAAGGACGTGAGAAAAATAGAAAGTATATAGTTAATCTTTTTCCTGTAGGGCTTCAGGATTACGTGAATTTTCAGTTAAATCCACATTTTACGAATCTCTGTATAGATCTTTGTCAAACTCTTATGTAAATTTTTAAATGCAGAAGATTTAAAAAAAATTTTTCCAGAAACTGTGATAATATCACTTACATCTTAATATGATACTTCATTGTAGAACCAAACAAAGCAGTCGTTCCAGATTATTAATTATTTCAGTAAATTTAAACAGTCAATTAAAAACAATTTAAACGTGACTAAGATCGCAATGTTTTTTGCGAAAAATTTGGGCAAACAACGGTATTAATTAAGCCAATACGAAACGTGATATGCAACAATTACAATTTAATGGGACCAGGTCACGGTGAAGAGCGCACTGCAACATAACTGTTTATTAAGGAACCCGTCGCCCACGTTAATTGAGAAGTTACTGTCGAATTGATAGTACCGACGTAAAATAACCTTCACCGCAGCCGAAGCATTCTAATTAGTCCTGGTCTCACGACAATTAAATGAGAAATGTTTGGGAACATTACACCGTGTAACCGTGATTTTTATTTCTATGATAACCAATTATATACTCTTCTTTTGTCAATCTATTTTATTCAAAGAAAAGCACTGAATTAATCACGGTTTGTACATTAATAATTAATAATTATTAATACCACCAAAAGTCAATTTGCTTTTATTAAAACTTAGCCTTAAACAATTGTCAATTAATAGAGCAATTCGTTTTCACTATTCTGTGTGTTTGCAGGTCTTATGTTCAAGACAAATGTCATAGCAGCACTTTTCCCATTTCTCGCAATCCTTGTCGTCGTTGCATAGAATTGGCGGCGGTAAATGCCAATCGTAAGTTCGTGCACAATGAGTTCTCAACGGTGGACAATGTTTTTCGGGTTCTTCCTCACGGACGTATATTTCCGGCCAGACGAAGTCGATTAGCGGAGGTTCAGCGGCGATCATCAATGAATGGAGGAAAAAGTGCCAGATGTATTCTAGCCAGCTCTCAGCTTTTCCGCTTGGACAGCAATAATATCGATGATCGATCGTCCTACACCAGTATCTGCAAAGTTGTCCGTGGCCTTTTTCGTGAACTTCCATTGCGCAAACGTAAATGGCGAAACAAAGTACCACGATGAATCTGGACATCCTGAAATGCTATTGTATTTTCATTAAGGGACCGTAGACATTCGTTGTACAAGTACTATAAAACTACAAGTATAATAATCTAGAGATTGCGATACCTCTGCGTTTGCATATTCTCTGTTGAGAACGGTGAAGAGAAAGTTACGAAAACAGAAATTATAATATAGGCAACGTAAAAAATATTCCTGTATCAAGCAGTTCAACAATGCAGTTTTTTAAGTGAAAAAAAGATAGAAATTTTTGTGATATGTTTGATGATTTTAAAGAGTTAAATAGAGTGTGTTTGCTACTTACTTGGATTCCGAGTTCCGTCTAAAAGGGACGCTGCAGCGGACATCCTTATAAGTGTCGGAAGAACTTCTCTTAGTTAAACTTCAGTCACGGAACATTTATAAATAATCGCCGCACAATGAGAAAAACGTCAGAAGTCCCATTAGAAATCTCATTCGACGAAACGTCGAAGCGACATCGTTATGAATTCAGTGAAAAGAATAAAAATTTAGCAATCATTTGAGAAAACCACTTTCCATAGAAAGCAGTACCGCACATAAATTGTTTCTGTATTGTTTCCGTTTAGAATAAAGATATTGTCAAGGCGCAAGTTTTATAGAAATAGTTTTCTCGCATGAGAAGAACATGGTGAGTAATTTTCAAATTTAGTAATTAATTTTACATTAAATACATTGCGTCGTATTGGATATTTTATTACAAAAAACTTCATAGATTTATCATCTGCTTTTAGGAAATTCACAGTGGTTTTATTCTCGAACAAACGTTCGAATACTTTCGTGAACTACTATTTGAACAAATAATAAGTTATTCCTTTTTCAATCATCTTAGTCACCAAGTGACATCGAAATCAAAAAATGAAAGAACCATCCTGTCAGACTCTTTTTGTGTATTCTTCATATATATAAATTACATACAATTTATAACATTGTGTAAAATATCGATTTTCGAGCGATTCAAGTGTATCTGCATTAGATAGTGCATCCGGCCAATACCAATCGTCTAGTAAACTACTACTATATATCACTGCTAAGTTACTAAGAATTTTGTATCGTGTAAAAAAGACTAGAAACGTTTTAAAATCGAATGAACACTTGATTTATAAGAAAATTCCATTTGTTAATACATAACATCTTAAAATATGTGGAGAATGTATAAAGAAAAGAATCGTGACTTTGACAAATTGAATTGTAATAAAAAAAAAAGGTATAAATAAAAATTTTTCCTAAAACAGTAATAGTTAATAAAACTAATATTTACGACTCGACAATTGTACTTTTAAGAAACAAAAAGAAAATTTCATTGTCGTACCTTTTGATTATTTAGGCAACAAAGATAAAATTTTGATCTGCTTGATCCAAATAAAATGTTCGATTTGCATAGAAACATAGTCGAATATCGAAACAAAGAAATTAAGAATTTTAAATTTATTGAAATGCTTCAATCACATTTTCAATAAAAAAAACATCAGGATAAAAGTTTTCCCCCTCTTGCAACGTAGTAACATCTAACGAGACACGTTGCCAATTTTCACGAACGAAATCACAATGACTATTCTACAAAAGAAAAGAAGCCGTTCGTTCATTGTTATATTTTTGTTCTCCGTACTGCGCAGTTTCAAAGGAATAATTAAACGGGGGATAAAGGTAGAATCCTTTGTACGTTCATTCAATCAGATGTACGCATAATGGAAAGTTGGCCGAGGATTGGTCGAAAGCGTGAAGCCACGGAGCCACAGTGTTCATAATGACATTAAGCCCTGTTCACATCGTGCAGCCTCGGTAACGCATCGGTGAGTTTCTCGTAGCGTTTCTAGACGCATGTGTCGTCGTCGCCGACACATAATAAAGAACAGTTACGAATAATTACGGAGCGTCCTATCACCACGTAGAATACCGTCAGCTAGCGAACGAATCAGAGAAATCCGGTGGAAATTACAGGGGAGACTTATTGCACGGCGTGTAATAAGTCGGTTCTTATTGCGCAGCTCGAGAATGCGAGCGCACGATTTTAAGGAATTTCTGGAGAAAAGATGCGAGTCAGCTAACAGTGGTTAGCAGTGTTGCCTTGTCCCGTGAGCCTTGTCTATAGTGATATATACGAGAGTGTGCGTACACAAGCAAGCCAGTGCGGTGCATATTCGGTGTACGATAAAAATCGTTGCTCGGCGGAACCTTCTAATACCCGTGGTATACGCGAGGTGTGTTGTGTGTAGTGTCCCGTGAAGGTCGTGAACTTTTTATCAAGATCATTCGAGAAGCTCGCGCGCACGAGAAAGCAGAGCACGGAGAAAGAGCAAGAGGTTTTTAAAAAGAGAAAAAAGGGGAAAGGTGGACGATCCTCCGCGAAAAGCCTCGGTAAAATGGCGGTGATCGGTACTCCGATTGGCGCTAAGCGATAGAAGAGGATCGCTGCTCCCTATTCACGCTCGCCAAGTTTTGTTTTGATCCTCTAGTTCGGCACCTATCCTCGCGGAAACCGGCCGATCCACCTTCACTTCAAATCATCCGGTTTTACACTTCTCGGTCTCGGGACACCATCTTTTCTTTTCTTTTCTTTTCTTTTCTTTTTTTTTTCTTTTTTGATCTTTCTTTTCCTTCTTACCAATTATTACGAAATTAACAACGGCGTCCCTATTGACCGTCTCAGCGAGGTGATACAACCGTAGTCGAGGACGATCAAGGTGGTTGAGGGGAAACCACCGACGAATCGGTTTTCCACGGCCCGTGATGCCGCATCGTTCCGACCTCGAATTCATCGAAAGGCCACACGACAAGGACGACTCTATCGAATCCTTGTCGGCTTATCTATAGGTAAGTCCCGTGCCACGAGTGCATCTCCGCTTTCACCGCTTTTACGCGTTACCTCGCTTCTGTTTTCGTCCCGTTGTTCTCGAGTTCTCGAGTTCGTTCGTTCGTTCGTTCGTCGCCACGGGACTTGTCAATTTCAAATTAGCAGGCATAATTTTGAAACGAGGTTTTTTTCCACCCCCTTCCCCTCGGACGGAGTGCCGTCCGTTTGTTATTATTTTGTACGAAGCCGAGAACGAAGCCTTAAGTTAGGTTAGGCCCTAGAAACCGATGACTTTGCATCTTAACGAGAACACAGCCTGTTTTCATTCGTGTTGTCCTTCTAACGGTACGAGCTTCTCGAATATCAAAAATTTTCACCGACAAGCCTCCTCGCCGTTTCGTTTTCCAGGCAAATTCCTTTGTTTACTCCAGATTGTTCTCTCTTCGTTTTTCTTTTGCAATCGACGACGTGTGCGCGATTCCCTTATATAGATTCTTCGAAAAATAACCACGTAACTACGACCGCGGTGTGTTTTGTTGCGATTTGTCATGTTTTCAAGGCTTATCGAGAGAATTGCTATTTGCTGCTCTGCAAATCGAACGTCGTGTCACATTCGACCTGTGCTCTCTGTTTTATGCGTCTTTTCAATCGATACAAATTTCTGTTTCGTTCGTGCCGTAATATCGGGGGATTTTTTGGTCAAACGCACAATGGAAGGAAAAATTATCGATTTAAAGATATTCGCGTATTAATGATAATGATTCTATTTCTGGCGTTTGCATTGCCTTTGAAAAGCCATATGGACGATTTTTTTTAACTGATACCAAAAAATTACAGCAGTATTTTTATTTCATGTCATTTCGTTGTTTTAACGAAATTTTCTTTTTTTTTCTTTTTTTCTTTTTTTTTTTTTTTGTTTAGCGAACTGACGAATTTTGTGACTCTCGCGTGGAGTAAGAATTTCACAATAAAGACAATTCTCGTGCAGTGTAAGGAAAATTTGTGAAACACTCCAATATTTGTTTTCTAGAAAATTAATGTTTCGTGCAGTTGCAAAACATAACTCCAATTGTGAAAGTATGAACTTCATTAACATGATTATATTTATTGATCAGTAAATATGATGAGACAAATATTATATAAGTTGGATCTTTTTATTAATGACATAATGAAAATTATTAACAGTGAAAGGATGAAATCAAATATTATGTAACAATTGACACTGATTTCGATAGTATGATTAATTTTGGGAATATAGTGAGAGATACTAGTTGAAATTGTATTACATTATATTTACATTTTACGAAGATTGTACCAGTATTTTATAAATGCATTACAAAACAATGTTTCAGATTTTAAATTCTTAAAAAGGAACCTTCAATCTGCCAAAATGAAAATTGATCGGAATAGATTGAGAAAGTACACATCAGAAGCGGTATGTATTATTTCAAAGACACATATTTGAACATGGATACATTTTTTACCAGAATATGCTGCTGAAGAATATGCTGAATAATGTTTACATGAACCAATAAATTTTTAGCCAGCAAAATGTCAGGCGCTTATAAACAAGCTACGCTCGTGCTCCCATGCAGAATTGCTAGAGGAGCTAAAGCAAATAGATGCATGGACTTTCGGTAAATGTGAACTGTTTCATTGGGTTGATGTGTTAGATCTGAGTGACAGCATCTTGGAAGAAGCTGCAGCTAAAAGTCCAGATAATCCATGGGAATTAGCTTGTGATCTTCCTCAAAATAGAGAGGTATATATAATTTTTATGTCGTTTATAAATTATTATTCATAACAAGTCTTATCATTATACATATAAATATTTTAAGAAACGATTAAAATGATTAAGAACTCTGTTACGTGTTTATTTCACTTTTTATAGGCAAAAGAACTTCTCCTTTGGGTTCTCCATCTTACAACATTATTAATTGAACACTCATACTCGCGACATTTGTATAGCAGTATGGAGCATCTAGTGACTTTGCTATCAAGTTGTGACATGCATGTTGTCCTTGGTGTATTAAATATTCTCTATATGTTCAGTAAACGTAGCAATTTTATTGCACGTTTAAACAGTGACAAAAGGCAAGCTTTATTAAGTAGACTCACTCTTCTGGCAGAGGTAAGACAAATGTACATTCAATGATTGATATTTTATTAGAATACTAGAAGTTTTAAATATCTTCAATGTCATTTTAGAGTTGGGGTGGTAAAGAAAATGGATTTGGTTTAGCAGAATGTTGCAAAGAATATCCTGATAAGGTAATTAAAATGCCAAAAGCAATTATTATCTTCAAAATATATGTTATAGTATATTGTAATCTTCTCTTTGAATTTTTTCAGCCACTTCCAGCAAGTGCCACAACATTGCATTTTGAGTTCTACGCAGAAAATCCCACAACAGATACGAATTCGACCTCAACCACTGGTACAAAGAAATCTGGACAGACGAATTTTGTAACATGTATACATATAGAAAATGTGGACAAATTGGGTAAAACTCCAGCACAAATTATGAATGATTTGTTAAAAGTCAATAATGTACCCCAAGATCGACAGGTGAATGTCACTTCTATCAATATTTAACAAACACAATTGTTTAAAATATTTGAATCCACTGTTTTCTTTCCTTTTTTTAGATTGCGTTGTTCACACATATAAGACTGGCACACAGTTTCTCTGACTACCGAAGACGATTGCAATGTGTGCACGCTCGGCTACAAGCATTATCCATACTTGTATATAATAGCGAACTTGAAGAAAATGCACATAGTTTGCTACATCCTGGGCTTTTAGAAGAATTAGTTGAATTATTGGAACTTCCACACGCACATCTTGTTGAATTACGGGCAGCTGCACTACGAACTCTTACTAGTATTATTCACTTAGATCGCAATCCACATTTTCCAAAGTAAGTGAAAGCTGCAGCATTATATTGAAACAAATATCATCTTTTTCCATTTTATCTCTCGCGAAATTTTACTTTTTTTACTCGTTTGCTTATGGATAATTGTTTTAATAATTTTGTAGAAAACCAAGTTCAAGATTAAATATGATAATCGACGTTACTGGAGCTAATTCGTATCACGGATTTTTTCCCGTATTAATACGCACGTGTATTTCAACATTAATTTCTCCACAACCTGAAGGACAACCGTTTCCTTTGTCGCTTGCAACAGCACTCTTCAGCTTTCTTTATCATCTTTCGAGTTACGAAGCAGGTTGCGAAGCTCTCGTTAGTTGTGGAATGATGGAAAGTTTGTTAAAAATAATGAATTGGCCTGGTAGTGAGTTTGAACATTTAACGGTAAGATTCTTTTATAATTGTACAAGATTCTTTTACATTCAGTTGCGTGAAATTTCTATAGTCAACCTCCTATGCTCTCTTTTTACAGTTTGTAACAAGGGCAGTTCGTGTTATAGACTTGATAACAAATATAGACATGCAAGGATTCCAAGCTCACGGTGGTTTGGCGAGTTTTATTAATCGACTCGATATGGAAGTGAATGTTTGCAGGAAGGAACAACCTTTCGAGATAGAACCGATACATTATCAGGATAATTCACAAGCCACTCGTGAAAGATCTATGGATCGCGATGAAAACTCTACGTCTTCACGCACGTATGATGAACGCGAGGAATCTTCAAATCCTATGGAATTTTCAGAAGATGAGAACATGAGTTCAAAAACCGATGACAAGAACGAACAAATGCCAGATTATTCAGCTGGAAAAACAGGGAAAACCTGTCTACCACAACGAGTTACACTTTTGAAAGCGCTGTTGAATTTTATTAAGAAGATTATCCAAGATCCCACATTCTCCGATAGTATTAGACATGTTATGGAGGGTACTTTGCCCTCTTCTTTGAGACATATTATTAGTAATTCAGAATATTATGGTCCATCTCTGTTCCTCATTGCAACGGATGCTGTAACGGTGTATGTTTTCCAAGAACCATCTTTGCTATCGTCTTTGCAGGATAATGGATTAACCGACCTCGTATTACATGCTTTGTTGATTAAAGAGGTAAGCAAATTTATCATTCGTTTTAGGTATTCTATTGTGAAATATGTTATGGAAAAATTTAATGATGTTTCGGTATCTGTGTACAGATTCCTGCTAGTAGAGAAGTTTTGGGGTCACTGCCTAATGTGTTTAGTGCTTTGTGTTTGAATCAACGTGGACTAGAATCGTTTGTAAAACGACGTCCTTTTGAACGCTTGTTCAAAGTGTTATTGTCTCCGCTTTACTTACCTGCAATGAATCGACGTCGAAGCACAGATCCTTTGGGTGATACAGCTTCGAATTTAGGTAATGCAATGGATGAATTAATGAGGCATCAGCCAAGTCTGAAAGTCGATGCAATTGCTGCTGTTATAAAGGTATTACATTTCTTTTTTCATATGTATATATTGTATTCTTTATACGTAGTTTTATGGAATATTTACAAAGCTTAGAATCAATGAATTACTATAACAGTGAGACATAAAGTAATTAAATTATTATTTTTTTTGTGTAGCTATTAGAAGAACTTTGCGTATTGGGTTGTGATCCTCGTTACATATGCCTGCAAGCTGAAGATAAATTCGACAATTCTCAATCGAATACGACTACTGGAAATCGCCAGTCCTCTGGGCAATCGGTCGGAGTAGGAGTTGGAGACTCCAGTGGAGGAGGAGGCGGTGGAAGTGGAAGTAGTAGCGATGAAGAAGAGGAAGACGAAGAGGAAGCCAGTACAAGTTCTCACCCACAACGTGAGGAACAGTGTTCGTCGTCCACTGCTCAGCCAGTTCCACCACCTCAGCCTAGGGAAAAGACTCCAATAGCTTTAATGGAATATATACAAAATGTTACAAAATTTGTTGACGCTATTTTAAGTAACAATTCAACGGACGATCACTGCAGAGAGTTCGTTGCCCAAAAAGGTCTGGTGCCGCTTCTGTCAATTTTAGGACTACCGAATCTTCCTGTCGATCATTCCGTTGCGCAGACAGCGCAGGCTGTGGCGACAGTTTGCAAAAGTATTTTAAATCTCGCACACGAGCCGCTAGTCCTCAAAACTGGCTTGTCCCAGTTGAATGAAGTTTTAAATCTGTTGAAACCACTGTACAACTACATGGAAGCTCCAGGAGGGTCTGTTTTGTTACATGAGCTTGTCAATGCTCCGAATTTGGAAACAGCCTTTACCAGTGATACGGCGACGCCGTTGCTTCATGCTATGAATGCTGCTTACGGATATATAATAATGTTCGCACAAGTGTGCCGTACCAGTCAGAGCGAAATCAGAAATTTGGCTATGAATCATTGGGGCTCAGAGCTCGGCCTGACTGTCCTCAAGGGCTTGTCGGAATTGTATACAGCTCTGATTTGGGAAAGCACAGCGTTATTAGCCCTCACTACGGAAGATTTTATCCCGGCTGGTTGTGACTTTGGGAAAGAAGATATGGATAAGTTAATACGTCCTGAATCAACCAACGAGGGCGAAAGTTCTGGTTGGTCTGGTGCTGCTTCCTCGGATATGGGGAGTAATGGAATGACTACCGCCATGGAAGCTCTAAGTACAGACCCACCCCCTGTTCCTATGGAAGTAGACGAGAAACCAAGCGTTAGTACGGGAAGAATATCTCCAAACTCTCATCGAATTACATACCCCAAGCACTTGCTAGGACTCACGTCTAAAATGGGTAGAGCATTGGCAGAACTCTTTGCCATACTCGTAAAGGTACACAAAATTTCCCGCTTAAATTTTACATGCATTGTTTTTTTCCTTTTAATAATTGTTAAAATCTGTGCAGCTTTGCATGGGTTCTCCAATTAGACAACGCAGAGGACAACAAGTGCCTCCAATACCAGCTCTCCCTTCACAAGCATCTAGAAGCGTAGCGACTGCATTAAATTGCGTATTAATTCGTGGATTATCGTGGGACAAATTACCGCCGTCAACCGTACCAAAGCTTCAAGTGACCTTCTTGATGTGTACTCTGAGTTTCGTGTCTCCAGCACTATTTGATGAAAAGGGATATCCGTTTCATCTGATGCTCCAAAAATTTGTCAAGCTAGGCGGGCAAAACGCATTTTTCGCGTAAATAAACTTAATCTCAAAGCCTCTTTCGTACAAGTTAATATAAAACAGTTTCAAATAACGGGATATTATTGTACAATTTTAGCGCTTTCCATTGGGTATTATCTGGAGGAGGACAGTTTCCACTGTCTGAAGGATTAGAACACCCGAATTTGCCTGACTGTACCGGAGAATTCCTAGATGGTTGGCTTATGATCTTAGAAAAAATGGTAAATCCCAAGACACTCCTCGACTCGCCATACGTTGTTTCTTCAAAATGCACTGGAATATACAAAGTGTACGAAACATTCGATCCTATAAAATATCTCACGGACATTCACAAGGTTAGTTTTCGAATAACGTGCGTAAGTATAACTTCAAATATACCATTGACCAATTACATTTGTATTTTCAATTATAGGAAGCCTTCGAGGCAGTAATGTTAATGTGGGGAAAGAAACCTTTGAAAAATTACGGAGTTCACATGACAGAACTTATATTATCCATTTTACGACATATTCTACGAAGTGAGCAAATCATTAAGGTATATATATATCTCAAATATCTGAGCAAAACATACAAGCCTAAAGACATATCACAATTATTCAAACGCAATTATTTTGTAGGAACACGCTGAAAAGGAGGAAAACAATGAAGGAGGTGTCAGTGGCAGTAGCAGTGGAACTAGTGGAATTGGTAGGAGTGGAACGATATCTGATCGTAGAGAAGAACCAGAAGCAGATGTAAATCCGGAACATCTCAGACAGTTAATGGACATGGGCTTCAGCAGGGCTCATTGCATAGAAGCTTTACTCCATACGTTAACGGTTGAACAGGCCACTGATTATCTGTTGAGTAATCCGGCTACCTTACGTAGATCGGATGTGCCAACGAGTGATGTAAGCGGGCAGGATCTGATAATGGATCTGGAGTTGGTAGACGATGATCAAATAATGCACGCGATAGCAATGTCGCTTGGTGAAACGACGGAAACGCGAAAAGTTTTCAGCGCAGAAGAGTCTACTGCGCGCGAAGCTACCACCATCACAGAGAGTATAGACAAATTCACGCAGAACGCTTTGAGCCAGTGCCTGAATTTGTTGGACCTCATGCCTGACACAGTATACAGAATCTGCGATTTATTGGTCGCCATCGCTAAAAGAAATGGAGACGAATGGCGTGATAATATGTTACGACAGCTCATGAAAGAAATTGGCAGCCTAGTGGATTATTTGATCGAAGTTGCCGAGAGCAACGATCCGAACGCTGGAGTAAAATTAGTAGAATGCAAAGAAGCTAATAAAGTTACTGGACGTATTTACCTGTACACGATGTTTTTCGAGGGAACGTTCCAGGAAATGCGAGTACCCTGCGCTCAGATTGTGGAAGAGTACGCTATTTTGAACAAACTCGTACGTTTGCTAGTGGTGAGCGAGGGTCCATTGACAGCAAGTAAAAATAAAATCACCAAAGAGAGTAGCAAGGATGCGTCGTCCGCGAAAACTAGGAAATGGCTTGCACCTTTATTGTTGCTAATCGAACGTTTAGAGAAAGTGGCGGTACTAACAAAGAGGAAAGAACTGATGTACAAGGTAACAACTAGGATGTGGAAGTGGTTCGATCTGAGCACAGGAAAATGGAATCTATATTCTCCAGTGAATAATCGAATAATTAACGATGCATACTGGGCTGGTGAGTCGAGTACCAGAGTAACGTGTAACCGACGACGATACGTGATCAATTTCTCTTGCATGACTCAAACTAACGAAGAGAGCGCTAACAGAAGACCTATTACGATGGGCTTTAAATTGCACACCGGAAACGAAGATGGTAGTTCTGACTCGAATATGGACACCGATGAAAACCGAGTGGAGGATAAACGGAACACAGTCCTGCAAGGATTAGATCCTAGTATGGCTCCAAGCATCATACGTGCTTGTGTGAGATTGATGGCTATTCCAGTGGATCGAGATGCTTTACACGCAGCCATGAAAGTTTGTCTGCGACTTACAAGGGACTACGAAAATGCCGGGATATTTGTACGCGAAGGTGGCGTGAAACTTCTCCTGGAAATGTCTCAGGCGAGTAGTTTCATTGGATGCATAACTTTGAGCACCCTCCTGATAAGGCATGCTTTGGAAGAACCATGTACTCTTCGATTAGCCATGGAGAAGGTAATCCGTAGTCGCACTCAGGGAAATATTCCTCCAGCGTGCAAAGAGATCTTGTTCATGACGCGTCAGATTAACAGCGCTGTTTGCCGCAATCCAGAAGTTTACAGAGAGGTCTGTGAAAACATTTTAAGAGTTGACATACGACTGTTGGGAAAAGAGGACGACGACAATAGATTAATCGTGAAAGCACTTCCACCAAGTCATTCGTCAGTGATGCCAATGGTAGAGAAAACCTCTATATCTGTTGTGAAGGATCTTCTGAATGCTCTTATAAAACCCATGCCGGTTGTTTCTGACGAAAAATCGTCGACACCAACGAGGAGTCCGGAGAAGAAGGCGGCCTATTCCAACGTTGGAGGTTCGTCTTCTCGACGAGATGTTCTCAGAAATAACACGACACCGAATGATACTATCGAAGACGAGGACCAAGTCTCTCAAATAATACCGATGAAGATTTACCCAGACAACAGCAGTAACAGTAAAGTGGAACCGGAAGAGGCAGAGAAACCTTTGCTGACAAAATCAGCTATTCTAAAGATTCTCGCGGAGAGCGTTCGCTCATACAGTGCAGTGGCAAGTCTGATCACGGAGCACGTGTATCGAGGAGGACAAAGTGAAATGGTACCCGAATATACGACAGCTCTTGCTTTCCTTCTAGACAAGCTTTTGCCAATGTCACCAGAGAATTCAACCGACAAACAATGCAGCAGTATGGCGAGAATGTTGATAGCTGCTATTGCCTCTTGCAACCACTCTCCAGATGTACAAACCACTTTAGTAACTGAAGTGAAAGCAGCCTTAACGAGAACCTTGGCTCTCCCCGAAAGCACTGAGAAGCATGCACAGCTTCAACTGTTAGTTGGTTTGATTTCTACGATGATCGATAGTTGCCCACCAACTTCCTATAATCAATTGAGAACCTCCTTAAAAATGCATCAGTATAACAATGTCAATTATATTGTCAGAATTATGCTGAGGAAAGGAATAATTACTGATCTGGCTAAGATTCCACACAGTTTGGATCTTTCAAGTCCAAACATGGCTGCTACTATCAATGCAGCTCTAAAGCCATTGGAAACGCTATCGAGAATCATAAATCAACCAATGCCAGGAGCTGTTAACAGTAAATTTTCTAAACCAAAAAGTAGAACGGTTCAGGAGGAACCTATCGGAGAACAAACAGGAACTACAACGTCTGAGGCGACACATGCCGTTGGGGAGGAAACGAATGAAGATGCAGAGAACACGGAGCATGACATATCTGTCACTGCTGAGAGTTTGGAACCCACTTCAGAGAGCCAAGTACACGAGGACGAAGCTGCTTTAGAAGATATTATGGATCAGCTTCTTGAAAGGTAATCATATATAATGTTCTTTATATTTTTTGTAAAATTATTTCTAGAAAATATTAGTGCAATTAATAATGCGAAAATTTTAATAAATACATATATATAATTTTAACTTCATATAAGCTACTGTACTTATAATCAAGTAGTGTACTATTTTCCAGGGACGGGCCGGGCGTGACGGAAGATCAGTCTTCTCGACCGCACAGGCCAATGGACATTGATGAGGAAAGCCTTGCAATACGGGATGGGGAAGCTGACTTTGATCCCACTCGAGATGCTACGGTAAGAGTTTTTTTTAAATCTCTGTATATTTGTCTTGAAAGTCGTCCTTTAAGAAAAAGCAAGAAAAAGAAACTTGAAAGAAGAAATAAGATTTTTATTCAATTTTTTTTGGGGGGGAGGGAGAAATAAAAACTATAGAACATAGTGGTCTTTTAATATCTTTTAATATGAAATATAATAATATAACATAGAAACTGGATATTTGATTAAGTCTTTATTTTTTGAAAATATAATTTTACTTTCTAGGAAGATTTGATGAGTTCTGATTCAGATTCAGACAGCAATCCATCCGACGATAATGAAGACGAGGTACAAGATGATGAGGATGAAGAGGAAGAGGAAGAGGATGACGGTAATTTTATTAAGTCTTATTTCTGATAGCCACTGTATTCAGCTGAACTCTCTGTGAATATTAATACGTTACCTATCAGGAGAAGAAAACGAAGAGGAAGAAGAGGAAGAAGAAGAAGGATCTTCAAATTATGAGGAAGATGGAATAGAATTTTACGAGGACGTAGGAGAAAGTGGTGTATTCCGAATGATCCCATCTACGGATCGTGACGGTAGTAGCGTTGTGATGATACGACATAATATCGATAATCAGGACAATGTGAATTCTTCGACTACGGTCACACCACGATCTAGTCTTCCATGGAGCACAACATTTCCTCTTCCTTTGGGCCTATTCGAAAGCCCTCCGATTTCCGAAAGTAGTGGTGAGCATAAAATTGCGGTATACAGTGGCTTGACAATAATATTTTAACAAATTTTTCATAGAATGATAAAATAGGTAATATGGGATTTTTGTTTATTTATGCAGGTATTAATTCTCACTCGTTGCTAATACCACAGAGCGGTTTGGACGCTAGTAACACCAGAGGTCAGAGAACTGTACGGCCACGAAGATATCAATATCTTCAGTTACAAAATCCACGAAATCCAAATCCACCAGTAATATTGCAAAGGTAAATTAACTTGAGCTCAATAGTTTTATGCAAAAATAAAATTTTGTTATATTTGTAAATGCAGATTGTTAGGTCCGGCTGGACAGGGGTTCCCATTGTCTGCTAGTCAAGTCCTGGCTTCCAGTTTTCGGGATACACGTGTTGTCGTCATGGATAACGGTGTTGGAATATTGACGAATCAAGAAGAAGAACAAATAGACTTTGTGGTTTGTAGATTACGATTGTTAAATTTACTAAATTTATCATAGGTTTTTTTTTTTCATTTATAAAAATTTCTTTAGGATCAGTCTGGTTATCTTTTTGGATCTAATCTTACAAGCACTGTGAATAATACTCCTACTGCCTTACATTGGTGGATCGAAGAAAGCAAGTTATTAGATGGAGATTCTCAGACAGATTGTTGTGTCGGTAAGTTTCAATATTGAAGGGAAAGCTACAAGTGTCCATTTTTTCTTTTTTTTTTCTTTTTAAAGAAAAGTGAAAGTTGATAAAATAGAATAATCTTTTGGTTTAAGGTGTTGTACATAAATTAATTCCTGGGCTGGAAAAACGTAAGAACGCAGAATTAGGAGAGCGACGGGAGAGACGTAAAATGCAGTATACTTCTGAAAAGAAAGGTGAAAAAGATAACAAGGATGGAAAGGATCACTTAAATAATACAGAATGTATATATTATAAATAATTATTTTAATTCTATTTCTCAAGTAACTTATATGTATATTTATTCCCAATAATATTTCTTTCAGCTGGTTCTTCTACTATAATATCCATGGATGAACAGATATCAACTGCGTCGACATCGCAAAGACAAGATACGAATAATTTTGTTCCTTTTGAAACCTGCGTAGAAACGCCACGATTAGAACGTACTCTCGATGAAGATATAATTGGTATGATTTTTATACATTTTATACTCATGATTCGATACATTCATCAAACATCATTGTATTCATATATATTTATGCAAATTATATATTGAATATTAACTTTCAGACGTGACTGGTGAAATGGATGCAACAATCCAAGAAGATGAAGAACGACCCCCACCTCCACCACCGGAAGAACAACCGACTGAACCCAGAGATCCTCGAATGAGTAATCGAAATTCAGCTTTAGAACTTGCCGAGAGTATAGTGGACTCTGTGCTTGGACCTTGTGCATCTGAAGCAAGCAGATTAAGTAATTCACTTTACTTCAAATTAATTTTATACTTTAGTCATTTCTTTCTCTAATACAAATAAATATTTTTAACAATATAAATGACCCATTACAGGACAATCTGAACGAAACATTGAAGGATCTAATACTAATGAAACATCTAGTCGACCCAATACGTCCATAGTTGTTGATTTCAGTCAGGAACCTAATGAAGACCTATTGAGAGAAAGTGATTCGTCCGAATGGATAAGGATCCTTACAGATGACAGTCAGTCAAATGTCGAACGAAAGTAAATATCTTTGCTTTGTGTTTGCAATGAAATTGAAAAATGCTTGTAAAAATTAATTTTCTTTTTCTGATGTAGCGCGAATATACTGAATCAAGGACCTACCACTTCCGCATCTGAAAATGTTAATCCAGAAACGCCAGAACAACAACAGCAACAACAGCAAGAACCACCGCCACAAGAGCAACAGCAGCAGCAACAGGAGCCACAACAATCTCAAGAACAATCGCAGCAGCGACAGCAACAAAACCAACAATCCCAAGAACAACAATTACCTGATGGCGTGGATCCGTCTTTCTTAGCCGCGTTACCAGAAGATATGCGTGATGAAGTTATTGCTGAACAGCTTAGGTACCTGTCGTACTAGATTTACGTAGTATTGACGAATTGAGGTATATTTGTAATTTGATCAACTTATTGTTTGTTCGAAATTTTTAAAGGCTTCAACGAATCCGACAACGAGCACAGGCAACCGTAGTTGAAGAATTAACTGGTCCGGTAGAAGTCAATCCAGAATTTTTAGCTGCTTTGCCTCCAGCAATTCAAGAAGAAGTTCTTGCACAACAACGTTTAGAACAACAACGACACGCAGCTGCAAGCGCCAATCCAGAAGATCCGGTTGACGCAGCTGCATTTTTCCAGAATTTGCAACCTTCTCTTCGACAAGCGGTCAGTGAATGAACAGAAAAGCTTTTACTCGCATTTTCAGAACCAATTAACTTTTCATAATTCGAAATCTATATTTACAGATTTTAACTGACATGGAAGAATCACAGATATCAGTTCTTCCGCCAGATCTAGCCCAAGAAGCTCAAAATCTTCGAAGAGAATGGGAAGCTCGAAATAGACACATAATGCAAGACCGATTTCTTAATCACGTTAGCCAAGGAAATGCTGCTTTATCCAGTATATTGCGGAATTCTAGTAGAGGTAAACAATATAATCATCATGCGTTTTTACAACTTTCTTTCTTAACTATATAACTATAAAAATCTAATAATTAAATAACAGGTAGAGGTGGCGGTACACGTTACGCGATTCATACCGTAGCCCAAAGAGGGTGGCAGTCATGGGCACATGGTGATCCTAGTATAACGCATCACGGAGCCGGTCTACGACTCAGAGGCAGACAATTATTGGATCATGAGTCAATGGCTTGTGTATTGGTATTACTGTTTGTTGATGAACCAAAAATTAATACGTTAAGGCTTCATAGAGTTATCAGGAATCTTTGCTATCACGGTAGCACAAGGGAATGGGTAGTTAGAGCCTTACTAAGTATCATGGAAAGAAGTAACGATGAAAATAAAGATATAGCTATGGATTTTGGTGGAAAATTCAGAAGGAAAAGTTTAGTACCCATGATGCACCACGATTATTGGTAGGATATTTTTGTTATTCATTTATAAAAATATTCCAATATTTGTCATAGAAAGCTTGTATACATTACGTAATTTCAAATTTCTCTTAGTGCCCCCAAGATATTTGACCAAAGAAGCAATGCACAGTCATGGTTAAACATTAGTATCGATGCTGCACTTGGATGCAGAGCAAACGTTTTCCACATTGTCAGACACGGTGGTAAAAAGTCAGAAAGACAAGGCAGTAGCATTGCCATTCATCCACAAGCAGCACCTACAGTATGTAGGTGAGTTGATTAAATTCTTCAATGATTAAATTATTCAATTTGACGATGGATGTTTATGAAAATTTATAATGTAAAATATGTAATTCAAAGTTCCTAAAATGCGGTAATATTTTTTCAGACATACATTAGAGTTACTAATATCGTTGGCTAAAGGTTTTCCTGGCTATTTTGTGCCAATTAAGTCAAAAGAGACAGACGAGAAAGAAAGCAACAAAGAGAAAGACTCGAGTAATAAAGAAGAAACCGGTTCAAAAGCTAAATCCACGTCGAAACCTGGAAAAAGCGATCAACCAGACTTCTGGGATATGTTATTGAAACTCGACTCGTGTGCCTCGAAGAAAGGAAAATCGGTCGCAAGATCGCATTCAAATTCGAACTTAGGAAACGATTCTGAGCATAATACGACCACGTTTGAATCCTCTGCTTTTGGTCAATTAATTTCAATGCTTAACTGGTCGGTCATTAAACGCAGCAGCCAATTGACGGACAAAGTGTTAAAATTACTGTCATTAATTTCGATCGGATTAACGGAAGTGAATCCGTATCGTAGACAAGAAGGAAACAAGAACAAGAGGACAGATGTAAATAAAGAACAAAGCATCGCTGCGCCGGAAGAACATCTGAAATTGGCTGTACAAGTATTGACGAGCAAGAGTTGTTCTGAAGAGGGGCTCGAGGATGCAACAGCTCTGCTGCTTAATTTGTCTCATTGTCCTGATCCTACTAGACAATTAGTAATAATTCTTCGTTAAATTATTTTATATATTCTTTAGAAAGTAAATTGTCATTGATTTTGAACAATTTCTTCACAGATATTGAAATTGCTCTTGGAAGGTGCTATGGAATTAGCTAATGTTGTCTGTGAACACATCAAAGATTTATTGATGGAATTGAAAGTTCTAAATCGTGAACTCAGACGAAATTCTATCGAAGAGCAACCTTCGACCAGTACTGGTGGTTCTCGTTGGGTTCTTTTAGATAGGTATGTACATGTGCTCCAAATTATTAGTTATATTCTTTCTTCCTATTTTTTACATTAGTATATCACATCTATATTTTAATATTACGGTGTTAAATTCATTACAGGTTTACTAACGAGAATGTAGTTATAACTGCACCAAGTAAAGTTAAAGCCGGTAGCGATCTTCAGTTACCATCTATGGCTGCTCTTGTTAGCAAAACTTCTAGTCAGGCATTTTTCTTAAGAATACTTAAAGTGATTGTACAAATAAGGGAAGCAGTACGTTTAGCAAATAATAAGAAAACATGTATGTTTGATAATTCAATTTTTTTTACTTGTTACTGAAGCATCATTGCAAACATGGTTATTGAATTTGTTTTTAATTCCCTTTTCAGCCAATCAAAGTTCCGAAAGTTCTGTAGATACTGGAAATACTAACCAAGCTTCAGAGTCAGGTAATTTGTAATTTTATATATTCACAAATGTAAAATAATTACCAATCAATTAACATTTATAATGTAAAATTTACAGGTGAAGACAAACTTCCATTATTAAGTGAAAGCTTAGTACTAGATCATTTATGGGAGACACTCAGCGCTTGTTTATTAGAATTGGAATATACTCCTGATCAACATGCAGTTTTAGTGTTGCAGGTAATCTACATTTTCTATGTTTTGTCTTTTAATTTGAATGAATTTATATGTTCATTGTGATTACATTTTACAGCCCGCGGTAGAAGCATTTTTCCTAGTACATTCATCGTCGAGTACTTCTCGAGATCGTCATCTAAACACAAACACAGAGACTCGCGAGGTCGTTCCTGACCTAACACCTGTTTCACCAATCTATTCGGACAATGAAGGCACATCTCAATCAGAAGCTACTATTAATACTTCCTGGGACATACAACCTACGCCACAGAAGACGCTACCACCAGATCAACTCAAGTTCCTCAAATTTGCCGGTATGATATTAAGATGTAATATATTATTTGTACTATACTAATTATACTATACTAATTATTCTAGCGCAGTTAGAGGAAAATGTCAAAGAAAGGAAATGAAAGTCTTTGTATTTTTATTACAGAAACGCACAGAACTGTTTTAAATCAAATTCTCCGTCAAACGACCACGCATCTAGCAGATGGACCATTTTCTGTGTTAGTGGATCACACAAGAGTTCTCGATTTCGACGTAAAAAGACGATACTTCCGAACGGAATTAGAACGAATGGATGAAGGTATTCGTAGGGAAGAATTGGCAGTGCACGTTCGCAGGAACAATGTGTTCGAAGATTCGTTCCGTGAGCTTCACAGGCGTAATGCCGATGAATGGAAAAACCGATTTTACATTGTCTTTGAAGGTAAATAACTACACAGAGATTTATATCACTCACTGAAATATAAAGTTATAAAATTAACAAGTTATTAGAAGTTTATTTCGTTCTAATTTATTTGAAAATAATTTTATTTTAGGTGAAGAAGGACAAGATGCTGGAGGATTGCTCAGGGAGTGGTACGTTATTATTTCTAGAGAGATTTTCAACCCTATGTATGCTCTGTTCACTGTAAGCCCTGGCGATCGAGTTACGTACATGATAAACTCCTCTTCACACTGCAATCCTAACCATTTGTGTTACTATAAATTTGTCGGTCGAGTTATCGGTGAGTCTTTTCTTTTATATCATCAATAACACATGAGAAAAAGAAAAATAATTAATATCGATGATTATTATTGCAGCTAAAGCAATTTATGACAACAAACTATTGGAATGTTACTTCACACGCAGTTTTTACAAACACATTTTGGGAATACTGGTGAAACACACAGATATGGAAAGTGAGGATTACAGTTTCTACAAAGGACTTGTATATCTCACGGAACATAATATTGCTGATCTTGGATACGAATTGACCTTCTCTACGGAGGTGTGAATCTCGATTTTTATTTATTTATATTGTTGTAGTTTCCAGATGTACACTCATGAAAGTATTTAAACACTTATCATAGTAATAAAAAAATTAGTGTTTAATTTTTTAATTCACGTCTCCAGGTAAACGAATTCGGTGTGAATGATGTGCGCGATTTAATACCGAATGGGCGTAACATCGTAGTTACTGAAGAAACGAAATTAGAGTACATTCGGCTCGTGTGTCAAATGAAAATGACTGGAGCAATTCGTAAACAGTAAGTGAACTAAAAGTTATATTAACTTTAATATTTTCACTTTTTCATCCATTTAAAAATTTACATTTAACGTAACTTTAATGTTACTTTTAATTTATTTACAGATTGAATGCGTTCCTAGAAGGTTTTTATGATATTATTCCAAAACGACTGATCTCTATATTCAATGAACAAGAACTTGAATTGTTAATTAGTGGATTGCCCAATGTAGATATTGAGGATCTTAAAGCTAATACTGAATATCATAAATATAATGCAAATTCTTTACAAGTAAGTATTTGGCAACCATATCATTTTTATCTTAAAATATTTCTTTTGATCTTTGATATTGATAATAAATGTTTCCATTTAAAATTTAGATTCAATGGTTTTGGCGAGCATTACGAGGTTTCGATCAAGCAGATAGAGCTAAATTCTTGCAGTTCGTCACCGGAACTTCGAAAGTGCCGTTACAAGGCTTTGCTGCTTTGGAAGGAATGAATGGTATACAAAAGTTCCAAATTCATCGTGAGGATAGATCGACAGATAGGCTTCCGTCAGCACATACATGGTAAATTAACATTCACTTTCTCCTGTTTCATGTTTCTTTCAAATTTTATTCGAATCTTTAACCTAACTCTTCGTATTATGGTTTATAGTTTTAATCAGCTAGATCTACCCGTTTACGAAACGTACGATAAACTTCGCACGAATTTATTGAAAGCGATCCATGAATGCAGCGAAGGATTTGGTTTCGCCTAAACGTTTCTGCAGAGTTGAATAAATTTTGTGTGATTTTGCACGAAAATCGAAGAGCGAAGACAAACAAACAAAAGAAAGAAATATAACAAAAAAAAAATACAAGCAAATGAATAACAAAGAGAAAAATAATTAAAACATCGATAAATAATTGTAAAAGTACCGATTGATCTTCGCTCAAGATTTAGTATATAAATTTTTACTCCGCTATATACATATTAAAACTGAAGGCGTATGTATATACGTAAAATTAACGATGTAATTACTGATGATTCGTCGCTAGAGTTTATTTTGTTGAACAATCTTAAAAAAAAGAAAAAAAAAGAAAAAGAGAGAGAGATGCAGAGCTTAATGATAATTCCTGATGAAAGGAAAGACTTAAAAAAAAAAAAAAAAAAATCGGACTTTAGTTAAGGATCTTAACAGTTAAGAGATAACGGATAAGAATTCAATGTAATTCATCGTTGAAAAAGTGAAAAAAGAAAGCATGCAGCGGGCTGAAATAAATATGTAATATAATTGCGACTCGAAGTCGCTCTAGATGCTTTTGAAGCAGAATTCAGATACGGGGAAAGGGAAGAAGGAAAAACACAAACGAATTGTTGCCATGACGAGAAAAGGCAAATGGAAAGTGATGGAGAAGTGTGCCTGTATTCCGAGTACGTGTTTATTTCCTTATATTATGTGTGAAAGAAAGCTGCCAGAAATCTAGAATACATGGATCTGTACGTGAGACAAGGAAAAAAAAAAGAACAAAAAGAAAGAAAAAGAACCGTGTTATATGTAAGTGTGTGAATGAGTGTATGTAAAATGAGCGAATGTGGAACAGAGAGTAATATTATTCAAGAAACCGATTAGACACGAGCCTAAATATGAGAAAAAAAAACATTTCACGATGTTATATCCTTAACGCCCACAAGAAAAAAAAAATAACGTATGGTTGTACACTATTAGTATTAATAATTATATTATCTAATTCTTAATCGATAGTAATAATCATTAATTAATATCGTTTTAATATTAATCATTTGAGAAATGTGATGTTAAAAAGGAAGTCATGTAACGTTTTTTTTTTCCTTTTTCTTTACTTTTTCCTCTGGATATATAGCGCAAAATCACGTCCAATTCGCCCAATTTTCCAAACTTTAAATATCCTTGAACTTCCTTTGATCAATTTCAATTTCCAAACGCTTCTTCTCTGGGAAGAACGCGTCTAACGAGACTCACAATCGAGCAGATGTTAATTTTTGTAAACACATCGAATAGGACAATATACGTTGAGAAAAGCATAGGTCCACCGGACTCTTCTTCGCGGTATTGTTAGGGAGTTATTGCTTAGGAATTCGCAAAATAAACTAAATGTTGTATTTCTTATAAAACGATTGCGTCTCTTTTTTTTAAATTACTCAAGAAGATACCTTGATAGCATAGGACTTTAATAAACGTTAAATTAGGTAATTATACATATATAAAATATAAAAGTTACCATAAGAGTCATTTTGATCGAAAATGTAGTATGGAAAAATTCAACTCGTTTTGGGAAAGATATTTCCTCTTTGAAAGAAAGCATTTCTTTTTCGATCATTTTTTTCCTTTCGAAGATAGAAAATGATATACGAACAATAGGAGTATAAATTCAGTTTTTGCTATTAATGTACAACTCAATTTAATAGAAAAACATGTTTAAAAGCCAGAAAATTTTATTTTGTCAAATTTTCAATTTTAACAAATGTCTTTAAAATTGATAATACTAATATTCATTTAAAAAATCAAAATGCATTGATATTTTTTTATTTTAAAAGAGTACTAACTAATCAAGAAAATAGTTTAATTTTTGTCAGTTTCAAGATATTGTAAGAGTTTTTATCGGAATTATTTTTTTACATTTCTATACTTGTGAAAAAAGAACAAGACTCTTCTCGTATGTATATACATCTTTGTACAATGAGCTTGTGTGAAAAATAGTCAAATATATATATGATGAAAAATGTAAACTACAATTGTACTGTATATCGAAGCTATTTACAATGTATTATAATGACGTAACAGTGGAAAACTTGTATAACTAAAAAGAAGATAGGAAAACTATAATTTATTAATGTAAACGTATCTTCTGTAATTATAAAACCTATTATCTTAAAACACATCACAGAATTCAGAAACTTTTTAGCCTGATTATATGGTGTCCTTCTGGGTCTTACGGCGACGCTTTAGGTTTTAGTTCTTCAAAGCAAGGTCTAAGGAATATGGAGTTCTTTTTCGCTGGATTATAATACTCGTGACCCTGAAATAGAATAAATATTTTCATTTTATGTATATGAAATAAGAAGATATTCATTTCATTATTTACACTTAATTAACAAAAACATTAATAACTACTTTTGACCAATCGTACGACACGGCATATGCAAATATTTGTCCATTATGATTAAAGCAACATCGAGTAATTGGTTGTTCCATAGGTTCTGAAGATTTCAGTTTAGTTCTTGCATCTTTGTCCCAAAATCCAAATGTACCGTCACCTCCGACAGTTGCAACAGTACCATGAACTGGGTGGAATGCAATATCATTTACCTAAGCATTAAAAAAATTAAATCTATTATGTATTAAAATGAATATTGAATAATTTATGGAATAACTTGATTAGATTCATACTGACAGCATAAATGTCTTGATATCCATTAGGAGTTCCATTTGTTCTGTGACACTTGAATGTGAAATTTTCCTTTGAACTTAAATTCAGATGGTGTATTGCTACGCGACCCTCTGTACTGCCAATTGCAAAACCAGTAGGTACTTTCTTCTTATCTCTAAAAATCGCAACACATCGATACTGATATTTTAGGTTCAGTTCTACTGATTTATATTCTCGAGGACTGCCTTCCAATTGATAAACAATCAATCCACGTCCAGCAGTTCCCACTACTGCCATTGGATAATCCTGTAATAGTTAAATACTAGTTATAATTTCCAAGCAATTGTTATTGCAGATATAATAAAGAATAAACATTCTATATACATACAACATCTGCACAATAGCATCTTTCAATCAAGTTTATAATCAATGCTGGTTTAGGACTCCTTAGATCCCAAAACTGTAAAGCATTACATTATTAACACATACATTATATAATAAAGAATTACCAATAACGTATGTAAAAACTTACTCTCAGTGTTTTGTCCCAAGAACCAGTCATAAGACACGAATACGTGCTTGCTTTAATCCAGTGACAAGTTTTAATAGGTGCATCGTGCGCTGCCACTTGAATACTCTGATTCGAAGCCAAGTCCCAACACTTTGCAGTTTTGTCGCAAGATGCCATGAATACTTTTGTCCCGTCCTGTCTCGAAGAATAAAATATTATTAATATCTTGTTAAAAATGAAAAGTTCAATGAACTTACGTCGCTCCAGCAAACATCAAGAACCGGAGCCGCCATGGATTGCATCGATTTAGGGACAGTTTTGCCAGATTGCTCAACCTCCCAGCAGCGCACATTACAATCCCAAGAGCCAGCGACGAGGAAATTTTGTGGAATACAAGCGGGGCTAAACGCGAGACTGGAGACAGAATCATCAGGTGGAGAGACAACCTCATAATCTTGCATTGGGTTGGAAGTGGTCGACGTGCCCGTTTGTAATCCTCCGCTTTGATTGAACATCTTCGATCTGTCTTACACGGTTAACTGTTATTTAATGCGAAACAGATGTCGTCAGGTGTTTAATATACGCGAATTATATGAACAACAATGAATATTCAATTACTTTCGCCGCTGTATTATTTGCGCGTCAAGCGATACAAAAAAATAATATTGTGATTCGAGAGATATATAGAGGGAGTACTCGACGTAAATTTCGAAATCGAGATTTAGAGACAACGCGAATAGCAAAAAATATTCCTAACTATAGTGACTATTTGTTATTGACTAAACTGAATACTTTTATGAATATATTATGTACATTAGAGATGAAATTGAAGAATTTCATTAGTATTACAATGACACCTCGATTTATTGAGTAGAATTTATAAATCTTTGTACGCGCATTGTAGATCTTTGTAAGTCAAATAGAAAGTTTGCATTTAGAAAAATTTACAAATTTATAATTTTAGTTTACAAGCATCTTAACAAATAATCTTTGTTTGTAAATTAAATTTTTAAATCGTATCATGGACAATGAAACGCTATAACCATCTAACGGTGAAATGGTGGAATTAATCTCAACCGATATAAAAATTACAAATTTTCGCGCATATTTATAAATATCTACTACTCTCTTGATATATTTAATGAAAAATTTTTCAAGCATTAAGAATGTCCCATCGAATGTTGAAGTTTATTTTACGTATTATATGCATTTTTCTTAATGCAAAAATATATATATAGTCATGCAAAATATATATATAATATCTGTGTTTTGTATCTCGTATGTACATTTCAGATGTTTCAAATTTTACCTATAATCATAATAATCAACTCTCAAATACAATGCTAGTTTAAATATTTCAAAATATTTAGCATAATCATTCCATATGATATTCCGTACATATTCGTGTCCCCACCAAATTAGTCGCGACACGAACTGTTGCGCGGAAGGGTTAGTCTATTGTCAAAAATCGTGGCGTTAAGGTGTATCGCTTCACGTGCTGTTTAATTGTTTGATATTTTTACTATCGTTTTCTCACAGTACATTATTCTCACGGTGCAATTAACAATGTTTAATTAATGTACGTTTTTATTTAATAATTTATCGAATATTATCACAATTTATCATTAAGTTATTTCTTCTTTTTTGACCATTTTTTTTGGTTGTTACTAAAGGCTTTCAAAATAGTATTTGATCTTGATTGTTACTTCATTTTTATATAATTTGTTCTTTTTATATATTTGAAAATTTTGTTTTTTTTTACAG